GGCTCAAATCCAGCCATAATGTGCCAAAGTTAAGAACTGCGCTGAAGCTCAAGTGGAAGAACCCTGCTAGGAGGGCTGGATCCAGGGGAGCGCCGTGACCCTACCACTCACAAGCTGTTTTTTGCACCGTTTCCCCGTAGACAAGCACGCAGCTGGGGCCCGCTGCGAGTGAGCCGGGGAGGGTGGAAAACCAGCAGGACCTGGGTGCCGGAGGCCCCAGCGGCAGCTTCAAAGCCTGGCAGGGATCAGGAATTTCCTCCCACGGGCACAAGCAAGGCTCGCACGGCAGGATTTGTGCAGAAAGGGGTTGGGAAGAGATGGGTATGGCAGCCCAAGACATTTTTGTACGGGGTGGGAATCCAAGTGGGAAGAAGTCAGAGAATATATGCAAATACTGCTTTTAAATAACAATTTCGGAGGTGAGAGCAAGGGGTTTAGCTATCTGTTTTCCTCTTGGTCCTCACCTGCCCACCATCCCAATTAAAACGGACAAGTCCTGCTTTATAAAGATTTGCCCCAAAACCACGGGATAAAAAAAAAAAATAGCAGAGATAGGATCTGGGAGTAGGAGCGCAGGTAGATGCAAAGTGCTAACCCCAATATCCACTTTTAGGGGTGGGAGCCGGGCTGTGATCTACCTGGACAGCTACAAAGCAATTGTCTCACCAGGGCTGAGCTGGTGCCATCTTAGGATCGGATTCACCATCCTGCTTCACGTCCATCCCTTGGAAATGCGGGCTCAGGAGGCAAAAAGGAAGGCAGAGGCATTTTAAGAGCCATTTTTCACCCTTGCGGGCTCCCCGCACCCCTCGTGCCAAGGGAAAACGTCCAGCTCCATCCCTGATCATTTTTAACCCTGTGACTGATCCAATGCAGACGTGCAGTTTTGCAGCTCATGTGAAAACAAGCCAGAGATGTGACCCTGACGGCTCCCGCGACGGACTGATCCGCAGCATCACAGTTATCCGTGACGCCCTGGTTCTCACAACACGGTGCTCCTCTTCATCAAACTCTGCAGGTTCTGCTCTGAAAGTCCCCGTTAACGGTGCTTTGGAGGGGGGTGTAACACGCATCAGTGTTCAATCCCACCGACAAGCGCACCTGGTCCACCTGCGCCGCTCCCCACTGGCAGCCTGTCTGAGGACCATGCTCCAATCATTCAAAATCTTCTTCCCATTTCCAGCATTTAGGAAATGTACTTTTTAGGAGTACGTGATGAAGAGTGAGGAATTCGAGTCAATATTTGGCCTCACTGCTGGATATAAGGGTATGGACTATGGAAAGAGGAGAGACAACCAAGGTGGGGAGTGATTTTACATTTTCCCCCCATGAAAGCAGCGACAGAGAGAAGGGGCTTTAACCTGCAAATGGCACTAATGCAATTATTTTTACAAGAGAGAGCGCGATTTCTCTTTTTTGCTGTTGCCAAGCATGAGATGCAGCCTCATTTTATCGTCCCGATTCACACTGCAGGAAGCAGGACCTGTGGAGCTCTGATAACGTTGTAGGAAACCCTGAAAACAGTTAAACCAATTGTTTTAGCCCCAGGCCTTGCCTCAAATAAACCTGCTGAGCTTCTTCCTTACATACAACCCTTGACCACACAACCTTAAAAACAACAAACCCCAAACAGTCTTTTATTCAGGTCTCCAAAGAGCAAACACTATCTCCTACTGCTTCCATTCAAGCCAGTATCAAAGCCCACGGATTAGCAAAGCTGGGGCAGAAAGGCACAGCCTTTGGGACCTGCTTCCCTATCAAGAGTCAGCAAACAAACGTGTAAATAAAGACTGAAGGCAGAAATATCCAACCCTCTCCCTGCGTAAGAGAGCGGGCAGGTTTGCAGCTCGCAGGGCAGCACCAGCTTGCGCGCGCTTGCCGATGGGTCAGCAAAACCCGCCTGTAGCAGAACAGAAAACCTTTTTATAAAGCTGAAGTTAAAACCAGCCGAAAGTCAGCGGCTTCCTTATTTTAGAAAGGGTGTGGTTTTGCAAGAGCAAGTGGTTAAAGACAAGCTGTGCCAAACTCGTCTTAGCTCCAGGCTAATTTAAACCTTAACTGTAAAGCATCTTTCTAATTACAGACCTTTTAACTAATTACAGGTTGAGTTTTTTAGTCTTGCAAAGGTGACTGCTTTTGACTCTCTCTCCCCGCATTCAGCTCTGGGTGAAACTTGACCTATCCACGGTGGGCAAAGAGACAAAGATGCTGCTTGCTCAACTGATAGGAGCCGCAAAGCTGAAGTTTCCAGAATCAGGAGAGCGGGAGGGAAAAAAAATCTTTTCTGCAGATAAGTCAAAAACTTAAAACTGCTCGATTCAGAGGCTGGTTCTCTCTACAAAGCAAAGGTTAATCCGTCTTCAGCTCTAGAAGTTACACTGGTAACTGAATAGCTCCTCCAGATGCAGATGGACATCCATAAAACACCCACAGATAAGCACTGCTAACTTTTCAATCGCACGCTTGAGAGACCGTACGCATTTGATTATCACAATACAGATGGCACCAGACTGTATGTTCAACCTGACAGCCTCAAGACCTAATAAGCTCTTCAACAGCTTTGCCTTGAATCAGTGGCATGGTCCGCAAGGTCGTTCAGTGTAAGGAAGGAGAATAAAATCAGGAAAGTTAGAGTTCTGCATAATTAGAATAAGTAGCGATGTTGTAATTAATGGTCAGAAAAAATGACGTATCAGGAAAGCCAGACTAGAGACAGTCCATCTCCCTGTGATGACGGAAAGGCCATTTTTGCATCCAATGAGACTCAGCCACCATCTCCCACCACCCAGCCTGGGCCATATGGTCAGACAAATGCTTCTTGTAACATTCCCCAAAGGTGCTCATCTACCCCGGACCCCGAAGCCCCAGACGCTGGGCTTCCTCCTCCCAGCCAGGCAGCTCTAGCACTTCAACACCCTCGACAAGAGACTTCTCCTAATGACTACCTTAAATCTCCCTTGCTAGTTTAAGCTCATTACTTCCCATTTTCAAATTGCAAACTGCAATTAAAGCCCATTCAGGTGCTTATAAACGCCCCGAAAGGGGCCCCTGTGAATTTGCTCCCACCAGCCCGTGCTGCTTCAAAGCAATTCCTATTTTTGGGAGAGAAAACCCCAGCCAGAGGAGCTGCTGTCGCATGGCTCATCCAGGTTTCTCCTTACAAGACAGCCGTCTGCGGATGGGGTCCTCAGCATACCATGGCAAAGCGACTCCAAGCAAAGCTTAGCTTCAGCTTAGCTTGAAATTAAACTGTGAGCACTGAAGTAGGTAAAAAAAAAAATACCACACAGAGTGAAAACCCTCTGGGAAAGGAATAATGCTGGGAATGGGTCCAGCAACTCTCATTTAAAAAAAGGTAGAGGGTTGTTAGAAACCAGCAGCGTTTAAGGGCACCTCTGCACTCACGGCAATTATCTGCTGGGTTGGATGCTACAGACGCTCGGGGGCTGATTTACAGCTGGATTGGACGTCCTTGCCTTGAAGACAGCAGCGTCCATCAGAGGAGTGGGGCAGGCACGGTTCTCACGTCAGGCTGTAACGCATGGCCCGTGTCGGCCTCCTTCCTAGAACTGCAAAGCAGGAGGAAACCCACAGGTTTCTCACCTGTTTATTGAGGAAAAGGCTCCAGCGGGAGATGCAGAGGGCATCTTCCATCCCACCACAGGTGTACATCGTAGGCTCACGGTACTTCGCTGGCTGGATCAGGCAGCCTGTGGAGTCGCTGCCTGAATACAATGGGATTTTTTATGGGGTTATTTTTTATACTGTATCTTTTCTATTCTAGGACTTAAATCAAACAGCAGGTTTATTATTGCAAAATGAAAAAAAAAAAAAATTAGGGGGTGGCAGCATGTTCTTGCCTCCCGTTGGCCTTAAAGACCACTACGAGCACAACATCTTCTTGTGGGGTGAGGAGGACTTTCCGAGCTGCCCTTGTTCTGAAGCCGCATTGAGCGACGTGCTCACCCCCTCACTTACATCTGAGCAGCACTTTAAAAGTAGTTTAACCCGTGTGGGAATCTGGTTAGGTTGAATAAACCATGAGTGCCCTCCTCATTAAAGGAGGCTTAGACTGAATTAAAATCCTTCTGCTTAATAAATTAGGTTAAAGTCAGCCCAGATTAGAAAACCCCTATAATAAATCAACCCTCTAGATTCAACCAGCTCTCAACTGCTACTTATTTTCTCTGCCTGCTTTTAACCCCGTTTTCTCCCTCTCGCTGAGCAATGATAACACCGCACCGGGCTCTCGGTCGACCTCTGGACCCCAGCTCAGCTGCCGGGGGCTACGGGGATGGATGTGGGTGACGCACTGTCGCAATAAAGCCCGCACAGAAACAGCACGAACACCACGTTTTGTGTGCCACAAATACAGTGCTGAGGATTTGGAGGGATGAATCATCACGCGAAGCGAGAACAATTAGAGATTCATAATCGGGAGGAGGGAAGGCTGGGATGGGATAGGAAAAGGAAAAAGCAGGGCTGGGATTAGTTACCACAGAAATATTAATAATATCTCAAGTTACCAAAGTACCGCACCCCCCAGGCCAGACCAGCGACGTTGACGGGGTGGGATGTTAATAAAAAAAAGTGATTACATGTCACTATGTCCCACATCCTACACTGACTGCCAGGGAAGCTTTTTTAGCTAACTAAAGGATAATGATCCTTTACTTCGAGGCCACAGAAACACTTGGCATGACCACGCTGAGCCTCACCTCTGCAGAGGGAAACGTCTCCCTCTCCATGAAGGGGATCCCTCCCTTCACCAACCGAGAAACATGGCCCGGGAGGGCAAATGGAGTTGGTTTGTGGCAGAAGCCAGGGGAGGATCCAGGAAAAATCACCCTCCCTTTGAGATATTTAAGACCAAGGAAGCATTTTCCCCACTATCGTCTTGTCTGAGCAATGGGGACCGGTCCTCCACTGATGCTGCAGAGCATTTAACAGCGCAGCCGTTGAAGAGAGGAGGCTGGGGCTGCTACTTAACAGCCTAGTCGTCAACACACCCGTTTCACTGACCTGGGTTTCTGAGGGGACTCTTTGGGCTCCTTTGAACCAAACCAGCCGCTGGTTTTATTCCTCTCATCTCCCGCTGCCGTCGTGTGGACGGACGAGCTCTGGGAGAATCCCACTTTCTCCCCCTGGCCTTTGCTCCCCACATCACTCTTGTTGCCCCCGTGGTGGAAGAGGCCGCCCTTCGCTTTCTTGTCTTCCTTCCTCGTTTCCTCGGGTTGTTTGTCCTTCGTCGTTTCCGTGGAGAAGACCATGGGTGTTGCAGCTTGAGTCGGCTTGTTCTCTAAGCGACTGTTTTCTTCCATCTTGGCTCTGCCCAGATGGTTACTGAGAGTGACGGCTTTCGTGGAGACCTTGAGCTCTTCTTGCAAGGCTAAGCTGGGAGGAGACGGGATGAATCTGGGCTCATCTCTCTGCTGTGTCCTCTCAAAGTTGCTGACCCCCCAAGGCACCTCATGGGAGTCGGGATGGAGGGGAGTGAAGCCGAAGCCCTCCTCCTGCCGTCTGGGGATGCTGGGCACAGACAGCGGCGCAGAGCTCTGCGGGACAGACACGGGGCTCTTTGGTGCAGGCTCGTCACTGTAAACGTGGCTCCCGTTGATGCAGAGGGAAGACCGGGACACAGGATCGTTCTTTGGCTTCAGGCTTTGGATTGCTTTGGGCTCCAGGACCGGGCTGACTTGGGAGACATCGTCACTGAATGCTCTCTTGTGGGTCAGCTTTGGAGATGGCAAGTAGTCTTTCACTGGGGGGAAATAAAATGCAAAACAGAGGTGAGGCCATCTGAGTAACAGGCACAGGTACGACAAGCATCGTTATCTTCTACTTGCAAACACTGAAAAGATCTGTGAAATCACACCGGCTTTCTCCCTCCCAGGCTCTACCGGATTATAATTGAGTTACTAGAAATGCAAAGCACGGGTCACAAGTATGTGGCTATACAGGCTATACGATATTCTCCCCAAGCACATCACCTCCCACTGCAGGATCCGGAGAGGAGTCTCTGTAAGACGACAAACCCCTCATCTGAGAGGATCCAAAATCGATAATAAATGCAAGAAACTACCAGAAGCTACTTAAAGGGCTTATGCTTCCATGTGATTTAAGAGTTTGCTTTGAATAAAAGACGACGAGCCTGTGAGCTCCGCTCCGACAGGCCAGGCTGCTGCTTTGCGTAATATAAGCCAGGAGGGTCCAGCGCCTGCTTTTCCCCTCCCACTGCCTGACCCTGTGGCTATTGCTAACGCTCAGCAGATTTTTGGGGTTACGTAGAGAGCCTGGTGAGAAGGATTGCCTGGACTTCAGGTGGCATGCAGCTGCTCTTCCCTCCTAGCCAGAGATGCTGTCTCCTTCACCAAGGCGCGAGGATGATGAGCCAGACTGGTGCCTCCGCTCACTCTCTGGCCGCGCACCGGAACATCATCCAGCAGAAACCGAGAGGCATCACGCGGGCGGCTTCACCAGCACGGTGAGAAGCAGCACATACCCAGGGACTCCCACCCAATATGGGAATTTGCTGTCTCCAGCCAATTAAACCATTTAATTATATATTTTGTTTTCAAGGGGCGGCAAGAATTAATTCACTACAAGGGCCTTTTTTGTTTGCAAATCGCCGCTCTCCGAGCGCCAAGAGCTCAGATTGCTTTAATCACCAGGAACCGGTCACTGTTTCAGCTTTGCCTCCAAGCCGGAGGCGTCTCATTAGACAGCCGGGCAGCAGCGCAGCGCAGCAGCAACGTGCTCTGCATCGCCCAGCCTTCTCCCAGGGGCTTACGGCTACGAGTCAGTGTTAGCGACCCCCTTTTAGGGGGCAGAGAAGAAACAGTCCTAAAGAACCCTCGTAGCCCGCCAGCTCATGGTGCGCTTGGATGCTCAGGATGTTCATATACAGGCTCAGCATGAAAACCAAAAATCTTAAGACGTCTCCCCCGGTTCTGGCAAGCACGTTACTGCCAGCATGCAGAAAGTCTCAGAAGGTTTGTGCAGGATGCCGCTCCTTGGGTAAGCAATTAGTTAACAGATTTGCAGGAAAGCCTCAACAGTCCCTTACAAAGAAAGGAAGGGGGAAAAAAAAGGGGGGGGATTAAAACCGTTATCCTCTTACCAGAGCGCTCCGTGGACAGACTGCTGTGTCTGCTCGGGGATTTGGTTACCTCGGGAACATTTGCGGCCAAGCCCAGGCTGGCAGAAGAGATGGTGCTGTCGGATCCCAGGGAGGTGTTGGATTGTGTCAGGGACGACTTGCGCAGCTTGTTCTTCAAGAAGAAGCCCTTGACTTTGGACTTCTTGCCCCCAACATCATAGTCATCCTCCATGTCGAGGGCGCCCATGCTGCTGGGGATGATGGCAGAGGCCGACTCCAAGTCGTATTTCTTCTTGCCTTTCACCTTGTCCTTCAGCTTGCCGAAGGGCGACCGCGGCTTGTCCTTCATGGACAGGTCGAACATGCTGGCCGTGAGGTTGTTGCGCGTAAACTGGATGCTCACCAGGATCTCACCACGCTCCTTCTCCTTCTTCCCAGCCTTGGAGTGTAGCTTGTGCCACCTGGAGCCAGAGAGGAAAGAAAAGGAAAGGCCCCTCCGTCATTTCCAAGAGCCACAAGCCAGGAAGACCTTGGGGAGGATGTTGCTGGGTGGGAGCTAGCACAAGCACCCCAGAAGTCACCCAAGACCTGAATCAGAGACACACAAACGCCAAGCACGGAGGTGTTGCACAGGACCAGACCCCTCCCTGAACCACAGCGGCTTTGCAAGAGCTCTGTCTCCATCCCTCTCCTAATACTAAATACTGTCCTTGCACTAAATAACCTGGCAAACATCTCGCTCACCCTGGCGTCAGATACCGCCATGCGTTTCAGGAGAAAGTTACTGGTGGCCAAATTTTTGTAGGGTCAGTTGATACATTGCTGTGAGCCTGTGTTTAAAAAAAGACGGTGCTTTGTGCTTGCTTTTTAAATATTCAAGAGCCAGTGACTCAGAACAAATCCTTTCAAGTCAGAGACAGTACCGTAATGGCAAAGGCACTCAACAACCTTCATTAAAATAACTTTATGCCAGACCTTCTGTGCCTCACCCTAAATAAAGATGCTGAAGTTAGTTTGCCTAGAAGTGTCCTTGCATCAAACGTTTAGAGGATGCTGCATCCTGGGAGCTCTTTATGGGCAGGAGGAGCTGCCGTGCAGCACCTACGCTATCCAACCCAACCCTACTCTACCCTACCCAGGTTACCGGATTTTTGGGAAATATCTGCATTCCCACAGCGGCCGATGGCAGTCTCCAGCCTGCGGTACAGCTTTTGGATCTGCGATGCCCCGATGTGATGGTGGAGAATGCAGCACACCTGTACCTCCATCACCTTCCCCTCCTCCCAATCCCTCAATTCTGCTGAAATGTCTGTAAAATTTGAGGGAGCCAGAAGCCTGAACTCAGGAGGGAAAAAGACTTTATTTTAACACCCCTCACGCCAGTCGCCAAAGCCCAGCACCATGCCGCTGGGGCTGGTGAGAGCTCCCGAAGGAGATATTAGCCATACCCACCAGCGCAAAAGCTTCAACTGACTCCGCAGCAGGGGATGGTCCCCACTGCCCTGCCCCAGAGGAAACCCATAACGCAAACTTTGTTCCGTAGCTTTGCACACAGAGATGGAAGAAGCATGGGAAAAGCCTCCAAAACATTCACTGCAGAAGGGAAAAAACCCTCCCAACCTCCATGTAGGGCCCAATCCTTCCGCAGGGAATAGCCTGTGCACTGGCAGGGCACAGAGCAACCCCTGGTATGCGATGGCAGAGGGGACTTGCCTCCTGCCAGCTGGAACGATCGGTGGGTGAGAGGACACCAAAGCAACGCCTGGAGACACCTTCTAGTTCTCCAGTTCACAGCGGTACCACATTCAGATGGGGCAGCACGAAACACGGGCCACGAGGGAACCCCTTCTTCCCCAAAACCGCTGCCGACCCAGCAGTCCTTCCCTCTCTTCTCCTGCTGCGAGATGCCCTGTCTTTCTGCCCCAGTTCCAGGCGCCGCTTCCCGGGGCGGCTGCAGCAGGACGAGCGGGTCTCCAGTATGGCCGCTGCGCCGGCAGCTCTGATCCCTCCCGGATCAAAGTATTAAAATTCTCCTTAACAAGGCGCAAGGAAATCTGTAGGTTCAGGACAAACCCTATTTCTCTGTGACATGCTTCACGGGCGAAACATGCAGCAATGGGAGGTAGAAGAAATTTCTAGACCTGAGTTAACAATTTCCCAATGATTCCCCAGAAAATAAAAATCCCGGCGGTGTTTTATATCCACTTGAAAAGTGAAGTCACTGAAAAGAAAAAAAAAAAAGGGAAGGAAAATGTGAAGGGATGGAGACGGGTGTGACCACGCTGAAATCACCAGGGCGAGGAGAAAACTTGAATCGCGTTCTCCAGAAGTTCCTGAATTACTGCTGGGGAAATTATCGCATCTCGGATGACGGGAGGAGCTGGAAAGCTGGGGGAGCCTACACTGTACCTTGGGAAGGGGGCACAAAACCCCTAACTCCCTCCTGGGATGCCAAGCTAAATAACAGGAGTGTACAGCTGGAAGTACCCAGGTCCTTCACCATCCAATTCTGCTGCTACCGAAATGCAGGAGGGACAGCTCCTGGGACTTTGCTGGGCGCAGATGCCGTCTTAAATCCCCAGTGAACCCATTCCTATTCCTACCGCTTGCTTATCCCACCCCCATACCATGCCCTTCGAAAAATTTTCAGCACCCAGGCTTCAAGCTTGAAAATATCTAGGCATGCAGAAAAAAAAACATGAGAAAAAGCAGCATTAACCCCTTAAAGCAAGGCAACAGCAGCAAAGAGACACTCAAACGGGCTGATCAGCTGCCAGGGAGCAGGAGCAGGTGAGTCAGGCAGACTCTTCCCGTAGGAGCGATGAGGAAAAGGCTGCTTGGAACAGGCTGTGGCCACAGCACATCAAATATTACGTTTGCTCAGTTTGATGTAAGACCTGGAAGAAGTTCAAGAGGGAAGGGCTGCAGCAGCCTGCCAGCTGGGAGAGGAGAGATTTGGGAGCTGAATCATTTAGCAGGAAAAGAAAAAAACCTCGCAAGTAGTTTTTATATCTTATATCATCCCATGGAAAAAAAAAGGTAGAGAGAAAATCTGGGCGGATTAACATAAGGAAAGGCACAAGCTTGAGGATGATGAGATGTAACAGTCTGTAAGAGCCCTGCACTGGCTCAGCTCACATGGATACGCTCTCAGCATCTCCAGTCCCAGCACTTATAATGTGGTGGTCATTAAAATTAATTTGGGTGCTCGGCAGCAACACCTTTGAAAGAACAAGCCTTAAAACTGATCTGCTTCAAAAAGCATCCGTTCAACAAAAAACCTCTGCTTATGCTGGCACTGGATTAAGGAGCTATTTTTGGTTCCCAAGACCTAATCAGAAGTCGGCAAGCAGTCGGGACTACACCTCAAACAGGGAACAGCTATTTTTAGGCTGAACTCTAAGTTTATGGCACAAGATGAGTGTTTGGGAGGATTAAGTTGTTCCATGTTGGGTTTTTCTTTTTTTTATGAATCAGTTCCAGTGGAAACAGGAGGTGCAAACACTGCCTCGGCCAGGATGCTGCAGGAGAGCAGGATCCGAACGGGTTTCAAGTCCCAGACCAGCTAAACACAAACTCCCGCAGCACCTTTTCGCTATTAACCCTGTCCCACACCCCTCGGTTTCCCACGTTTCTTCCACAAGCTGCCCTCGGGGGGAAGCCCTGGGTGGGGAGTTTCTGGATTGGGGACACCCGAGCCCAAGCCTCAGAGGGGGACATGATCTCTTTTATGGGACTAAACGATATGCCTGGAAAAACAAACCAGCTTCTGCCCATGCACACCCTTTTCCAGGTCTGAAATAGCAGCCGTGGGCTTCGCAGCTCAGGCTCAGACCAATCGCTCTGAATTTAACTGGGTTACATTAATCAGACTGTGGAAGAGGTGCTGGCATCGAGGAGCGCGGGGAGATCGAGGAAGCCGCGCCAAGCATGTCCAGCACCAGGGACCCAGGACTGCAAGGACCCGCTTCTCAGAGGTGTTTTGGAGGCCTCTCTTGAGGAAGGTGCCACCAGCTTGGGTCCAGCTCTTTGCTGCTCAGGACATCCAGGACAAGCCACCCATCTCTGGCCACCTACTCCTGGGATGCTCTTCTTAGCAAGGTTTGGAGGGGTCACAGCCTGACACAGACTTTGCTAGTTAAAAAAAAAATTAAATTAAACAGGCTGTCTTGTCCTGGTGCCAGAGCTGGTGGGGACAGCTTATCTAGCTAAGGAGATATGCTTGGTGCCCGAGTCTGCTCCTTCCCTTGCTCCCTGCAACTAGAAATGGGTCTCCCCCTGAACACGGAGCGGAGGATGAAACCTGCAGCTTCTCAGCCTGCTGGTCCCATATCAACACCCTTCTCCTGCTCCATGGAGAACTGCTCCTTTCCACCCGCCAGCTACTGCCCACCTCCACTGCAAGGCGATGCTTCTGCTGAGACACCCAGGCCCTGGCCATATGGAGAGCCAGGCTTGCTCAGAGAACATCTCCAATGCGACACGTCCAGGCAACACAGCAAGCTTGAAGACACGAGCTGCAGGTTCAGGCAATTAGCTTTTGCTAAAAAACTCTACATTCTTCCCTCTTACTCCCCACAGGTCCAGTGCCTCTGTGCATTGGGTACCTGCTTGCAGCACTGCACCGTGCTGGGCATGCATCCCCCCAAAGGCAAATGGCTTCTCCCAGAATCATCCCGGGATCTGCCCTCCACGGATGCCGTGGCAGGGAAGGGGCAGGCGGGCACCCAGGCCCCGGGGATCTCTGCAGGGGGAAGGAAGCAGCAAGCCGCCCCAGCACACAGGGACGAGGGAGGAAACCTCAAACCAAACTCCTCACAGATACCCCAGAAAGGGGAAGCAACTGAAGGCCCCTGCGAACTCTCGCGCAGCTCCTGAGAAGTGAGACGTGCTCCGGGGGTTTGCAAGCTCACATCCCACCGCAGTAACACTGCTTGCGAGCGCTGATGTACGGCGGAGGGCTCCCCAGCCCCCCTGCGTGGCTGTGCACACTCATTTAGGTCACCGAGTTTAATCAGCACATCCGAACTGCCTCCAGGCAGTTTCAGTAAAACCCTTTCCTGTGCAAAGGCTCCTCTCTCCTCCCATTCGCCTCCACCGAGAGTCAAGGAGAACAGCGAGCCACGCAGCACGGCTGCCAAAAGGCAGGTTTGGGAGAAAAGGCAGAAAGCGCCCGGCATCTATTTTTACATTTGCTATTGCCAGGATCAATTGGAGCAGCAAGGGAGGCACGGAGAGCAGAACACAAAGCGCTGCTGTATCTCCAGGCCCCCAAAAACACATGTGCTTTCCCTCATCCTCCAGCAGCGTCTCATACCGGAAAGCCAGCTAGTGCTGAGCCAAGGGAAAAAACACCCTGGCATGGAAACAAGAGCGTAGGAACTGTTTGTTAAGGAGGGAAAGCGACCCCACGGAGGATGCTGACAGGATGAATTTGCTCAGGGTCAGCGCCTGCTTCGCA